GCCCCACCTGAGGCACCTGCCCCTCCACCTTTGGCAGCAAGGTGATTTACCCAGGGAAGAGGTTGGCACTAAAGGCCCACCCATGATACCTAATCCTCTGGGAGCACAATTTCCACCACCTGCCACCCCGGCTGGCGATTCAGATTCCTCCCTGCCTCTCCTTTGTCTGACCCCAGGAGTGAGAAAGCTAACTGGTAAAGTAAATCTAAAATATCTCAACCATGATAACAGGAAGGCCTGTGTCTTTCACATGGGTTTTCTCTGTAGTGTGATGTAAATGTTGTGGTCGGAATGGTATCTATTAGAAACCTGGAACAAATAATCATGTTTATGGATGCAATTGAAACCTCAACTCTGTACCCTGAGGAAGGCCTCTCTAGTTTACAAAGACAGGCAAAGAGGGTCCCAAATGGGCAGGCTGTAAGCTGTTATTGTCACAAGCAATTAGCAGCTGCTACATAGATATACCACGAGGATATACTCCTTCGAAAGAATATTTGATACAAAATGCTCTGATTTCTCATTCATACATAAAGCTAGCTAGATTATAGCAAAGTACAAAACAAGCCAGCAGCCATTCCAAATTCAGGGGTACAGTGAATATTTAACATGTGCAGAGTCCTGGATTCAATTCCTACTACCAGATAAACAAACAAACAAAAACCCCACCTCTACAAAGAGCAAGGTTTAAATGGACTTTGCTTTTCTTGTGGTTGGTTTAGGCAACACTCAGGGCCCTGCCCATGCTAGGCAGGTGATTTACCACTTGGACAATGCTACAGCTCTTTTTTTGCTTTAATTATTTTTTAGGTAGTCTCCATAAGGACTGAATTTAGACCATGATTCTCCTGGCCTCTGTGTAGCTGGGATAACAGGCTCACACCACCATATCTGCTTTATTGATTGAGATGGGGACTCTGTAACTTTGTGCCTGGTCTGGACTAAAACCTATATTCTCCTGATCTCTGCCTCCCCAGTAGCTGGCATTTTAGGAGTGAGCTGCCATGCCCAGCCTAAATGGACTTTCTTTAGGGAGCCTTTGTGATTGTGTCCCCATCACACCTGTTCCCTCATCATGCATCATGGTTGGTACTCATTAAATGTCTGCCTTTCCCACCAGACTGAGAACACCAAGAAGATAGGGACTGACCGCCATATTTAACCACTCTTTCCTTAGTATGGTATGGGTATGGAAGAAACATTTAGCATTTATTCGATGAATTATCCAAAGAGATTAAAGAGGATCAAATATTACTTTCTGCTTTCCTTCTTTATATGTCATCACTTTTCCCAGACTATGTTCAGCTCAACACCACAGTGGCTCCAATAGGGCACAGCTCAGTCCCTTCTCTTTAAAGACCACAGAAATCCAGGAGAAACAAACAGATGGGAATCAGGAGACATATAATCAGGGCCAGGCTTAGTTAAACACTTGCAACTACAACTAAAGGAAAGTCACCGGTGCCAACTAACACACTAATGGGCACACCCAGTAGGAGATGGGGTATCTCATGACCTCAAAGACAGAAGCATAGCCAGCCTACTGAAGAATTAGGAGGATGGGGAGGGAAAACTTTAGGAATCACTGACTCAGAGAGTCCTGTCTCCTTGCTTCTCCAGGCACACAATGCCTCACAACTCTGGTTTCTATGTTCCCAGATCAAGGGACCTGCCTATCTGAAACTAGCACTTCCTAGTCCAAATGCTAAATTCTTGGGAAAATCAGATGGGCCCAGGGCAAACAGCCTTCACTTGGCAAGTCTGGTTTCTACAGGCTTCCTTCCCTAAGGGAAAGAAGAGCTGCTTAGAAAAGGAGTGTGGAGACACTCCCAAAGTGGTTTTGCATGACTCCTCTGCTCTTCAGTCCTCTGTCTGCCACTCCCCTGCCTTCACTCAGCCTCATTACACTCTGCCTTTCAGACTTTCCTGTCATCAGGTGTAGTCTTCACTATTTTTTCTCCTTTAATGCCTCCTGACCTCATTCCTCCACTGAACTTCAAATTCTTCTAGAAGATACCAAACATCTACTCTCCTGCCCAGAACATGACAGACGCAATATTTAAAAGATATTTCAGAGGACAAAATAAACATTTTTTAAATGTGCAGAATACTTTCTTCTGCATTTGATCTACTACTTATTATATGCTAGTATAAATGCACATTATGGTCCTATGCCTTGTGGTGTCCATTTTATGGCCTCTGAAATTACTCACTTTCCTTTTCATTTATTTTGTAACTAAATACCACATAACCATTATTTAAAGATAATACTGAGTAACCGCTTTGCAAAAGAACTTTCAATAAAGGAGACTGCAAACAATCCCTTGGAAACTCAAATCTATTTCTGATTCTCTATCTGGCCAAAGTGTAACTTATTTTCTTGTGCAGTGAGATGCTGCACAAGTTAAACAAAGCATACATTCTTGCTAAGTTAAGGTCCATACAGTGTCATCAGAATGGAAAAGATTCCTAGGAACATAAAAAGCAAATTTCTGGCTAATTATGAAGAACATAGTGTTTTTTCTTTTACCTGTGAACAGGAGTAGAATCATCAAACACTGAAAATTTATAGAAATCCTCAATCATATGTACCTTGCTCATCTGCAAATCCCTGGCCATCCCCATCAGTGGCCTGTATGCAGTAGGTGTGCAGTTAATGTTTGATTTACTAACATGTACACTTGTATCTACATATTTACAAATAAATACTATAAACGCAAAAGGCTTCAGCTGTATTCATTTATAGATAAATGGATGGATGGATGGATAGATAGATAAATAGTATGTTGGCTACTTGTCACAAGATAATCTTAATTTTTTGGCCATATGCAATTTGAACTCAGGAATGAGCTTGCTAGGAGGCGCTCTACCATTTAAGCCACACCCAAGGCCCAAGACATCTTCTTGAACTTTAATGTACATTCAAATCACCTAGGGATTTTTACTAAAATGCAAACTGTAGCCTTGGCGTGGAACCCAGCAGTGCAGTACTACTATTTCTCAGGTGATGCTGATTATTCTGGACCAGAGACAACACTCTGAATAGCAAAGCAGCCCCCGTTTTACTCCCTTTAGTAGAATGCCATAGGTGTTTCTGGAAGCTCATGGTCAATCATTAGGAAAATAGGTGATAATGTTCTTGAGGAATATCATCTTTATTACTAGACTCAGTCCTTCCATAAGAATCTATTTTGTTTTGTTTGCAGTGTGGGGTATTGAACTCAAGGCCTTACATGTGCTAGGCAAGTGTTCTACCTCAGAGCCACACCCCAAGCCCTCTTTACATAAATATGAAATGAGTACATATGGCAGGTATGGGAGCTACTGTAACCTTTAGTCTTTCTTACATATACATGATTAATGATAAAAATGGAAACAGAGGTCTTTCTGTGAGCATGGTCTTGGCTGTGCTCAGTCATGGCCAAGTAAAGAACAGATAAGAAAGTGACATCAATATGTGTATGTATGTGTGTACAGGGAAGGGGATGGGGAAGCAATTTCTTAGGAAGCTGTGATAATGCCGATCACAAAACAATTCCTTTTTTGCCACCCCCAGGTCTGGTTCTCCTCTATAGTCAAGGGCAATAGATTTCTGGGGCCAACTTCAACTGGTTGGATTATAGTGTTTCTCCATCTCTTCCAGTTAGATATTGTGTCAAGTTTGTTGAAGAAGAAAGACAAAGGAAATGACTTGGTTATGTCACTTAAAAATCAGGAAAAAAGAAAAAAAATCAGAGAATCCTTTTCCTTTTCCATTTCTCTAAACTCTCATCACTACAAGTTCATCTTCCTTTTGGGCATCTAATTTTGGGCAGATAGCTTATACTGTCTACTGAAAGCACAACAGGTAAAAGGAAAATATAGTATTCAGAATTCCAAGAAGTTACTTCTTCATAGAAGACGGGTTCAGCTTTACGGTCAGCATCTATTTACTAAAAAATTATATAAAGTCATGCAAAGACTCAAAGATCATTTGAAAATCATTGAAAACTATTATAGCCTTAATAATTAATTTGTCCATAAATAGGCAAAAATGTTATTACAATATTCTTTGCCAGAGTCATAAACTTAATCACATATATAATTTAGCATGAATTCATTTTGCTTGTGTATAGCAGGCTGTACTTCTCAAACTGGGATACTTATATCAAGGGCTGAGGTACACACACTGCTGCCAGCCAGAGGGTACAGATGCCAAAATAACAAACTGGGAGATTTTTCTAGACTGCTTCAGTCTTTTGGCTAAGATCAAGTGTAGTAAGATTTGAAGGAGGAGAGTAAAGGAAATATTTAATACAACTGATAATGAATTTAAACAATTATTTTACACTAAAATAAACACAGAACAGGATTACCAAACTTCATTAATTTTCAAGAAAGAATACTAGACTAAAAACAAATTTCCTAATTTGTGTGGTCAATTCTTCACTTGTAAGGTAACTTCTACCAGTTTCTCTCTCTTTCTCTTTCTCTCTCAAGTCTATTTGGAAGATCAATCAGTGCAAGGACAAATTTCTCTGATGAGATCATGGGGAAATGAAATCCACTTCTAATTAGAATGTTTTAATCCTAAGAAAATCCTTTTGAGAACTGAATGTCTTAAATTTGAATAAATGCTGTAACAATAATGCAAGGACAAATTTACCTCACAAATGTAATCACTGAACAAAATTTTGAATTGTCTAGGGACATACTTTTCCAAAATAGTTAAACAAAAAGTTGGAAACAAGAGGGAGACTGCTGAAATCATGCAGCCTATATGCTGTAGACCTTCCATTAATCTTATTCAGCAGGTCTGAATATAGTCAATTTCAGAACCATGTTCCTACTTTTCATAGTGAGAACCTCAGAAACTCTCAAATAATATACATTTCATTACAATTAGATCCCCAACCTCCAGTCTTTCTTACCCAAGAAGAAAATACAGAGAAGGCAAAGGGGGAAAGAAGAAGAGTTGGAGTGCAGGTCTGGTTTCTCAAGATAGAGACCCAGATACTTACAAGGCATTGCATGGTATATGCTTGGCCAATATTGTCCGCTGTCTCTCTTTAACCAAACACGAACTGTCCTGCAACAGAAGAAAATATGTGCATGAAGTCACAGTAGTTTTAGTCATGGGAAAATGATGACACAGAAACCAAACTTATATGCATATCATGTCTTAACTACTTAACCTTCACTACATATATAATGTATGTAGATGCACATTATCTATATATGCATCTAAAAATCCTATATTCTTTAAGTTTGATGCTTCTGCACATTTAGAATTTACATGACTCTTTAAATGTCACCCTTATATATGCATACATGCCACACATGTCTAATCACAATTGTGTTTGAAAATTATTTCCACTGTTGCTGTTTTGCCTTTCCAGGTGTCTGACCTTTGCACTAGTCTCTGGAAGCATCCATCTTCCTAGGGAACTGTTAAGTTTTCCTAGTGAAACCAGAGGGAGACTGCTCTGTGAAAAGTGCAAAGAGAGCAAATGAAATAATATGCATCTGACATGAACAGGATTACAGTAAATCCACAGCTCTGCACACCAGGCCCTTATCTCAAAGAATTTTTTCCAACCATGGTCAAGCAGTGGTAAGCTCTGAGAGTCAGTTGTTCTGAGCTAGTGTGCCAGCCAAGGAGCCCATTATGGAACAGGGTTATCTTCCAACAAAGGCTGGATGAAGTCCCAGGCCTGCTGGCTAGATAGAGTCAAGGCACCCAGGAGAGCCCAGTGAGTCTGAGCTGGAGACTGAACCATATGCAGGGTATCACCAGGTTTTGATCAACCAGAAGGATCTGATCACAAGTTACACCAACCATGACATCATTAGTATATGCTACCAAGGCCAACACATGAGGCTAAGAGACCAGAAAAAATAATGTACACCAAACTGAAGATAATGGCCAGTTTCCCACTGCCAGGACAATCACAGAGGCCATGCACCTTACCCTGCACCATTAAGCTTAAGCCTCTCCCCATCAGGGCAATAAGCAGAGTAAGAGACTGATTGAACACTATCTAAAGAGATTATTTTAGTCATCACACTAGATTAAGTTTTAAATTGTGTTGGACATCTCCCCAGCAATCAGTGAGTGTCCTATAAACAAGTAACAAGAAAAGCACTAGACCAACTACAAACACAATAAATGCCACTTTCTTTGAATAGTCATAAGTAATGATGAGGTGCTATATAATGATATCACTTCATATACATGCCAAATTCAGTCTTTTTGATCAACTACCCTCATCTGTGAGTGGACAGATAGAATGTATGTAACTAATCTGTAGGAAGTAACTCTCTATACAGACACTATTTACACACTATTTTCACTCCTCTCTTAAACAAGTTCCTTTTACTACATATATTAGTACAACATTGTAATATTGGTATTACTGTTTCAATAAGAAGCAATACAGGAGTGACATCATGAAGATGGTGGAGTAAAAGACTCCAAGAATAAGTCTTTCCACCAATCAACTACTGAGCTGGCAAGAACTGTCAGAATCAACTATCACGGAACTCTATGATGTCTAATTAAATGTTCACAATGTCCAGGGAAGTGATAAATTTCTATGAGTCCTGACATTTAATAGCTTCCATTGTCCATGCCCTGGCCCATGGCAGGCACACATGGAGAGTAGCCTATGTTCATAGAGTGGCCTGTTGGGAACCATATCCTCTACAATTTGGAACAGAGACTGGTCATTGTTTCAATCCTTAGGGCTGAAAGGATTCCCAGGAAAGTATCATTTAAAAGCATTAAAGACACAGAAACTTTCCTTTTCTTCATTAAATTCAAGGAAATCAGTGGCTGACCTCAGAGATAACAAAACAGACTTCAATGATCACATGTAACAAGGAACACAGTCTTTGTAAAAACAGATTGGAGAAGTCACTAAACAAATGGACAGCTATAGCATTCAACAAGAACAGCAATCTCTGGGGAGGAGAGAGAAGCGGATTTTCAGAGTTATTATAATTACATTATTTGAAATGTATAGTTCTCAACAAAAAGTTGCAAAGCATACAAAGAAAGTATGGCCCACTTGCAGAATAAAGAAATAAAATGAAACTATCTATGAAGAAGTCCAAGCACTGAGCTTAGTAGACAAAGACTTTAAAACAGCTGTCTTACATATGCTCAAAGAGCTGCAGAAACTGTAGACAAAGAACTAAAGAAATCAGAACAAGGATATATGCACAAAGAGGGAACATTAGTCAAGAGATAGAAATTATATAAGGGAGCCAAACAAATTTTCTAAAAGCATAATAACTAAAATGAAAAATTCAGTAGAGATGTTCAACAGCGGGTTTGGGCAGGCAGGAGAACAGAATAAGTAAACTCAAAGTTAAAACAATTAAAATTAACCCAGCCTGAGGAGAAGAAAAAAAGGAAGGAAGATGACAACAGCCTAAGAGACCTGTACAGGTCATTGTTAAGTGCACCATACGCAATATGGGAGTCCTATAAGAAAAGAGAGACAGGTATCAAAAAATATTTAAAGAGAAATGGCCAAGAATCCCCCAAATTTGATGAAGATACAAATGTACATGTATTCAAGAAACTCAATGAATTCCAAAGAGGATAAACTCAAAGAACTCCACACCTACACATATAATCAAACTGTCAAAAGCCAAAGAGACAGTTTGGTCAATGATCTGTTTGCAGTTGAAAAGAATGTGCTTTCTGCTTTTGGTGGGTAAAAAAACCAAAAAGCCAAAGAGAAAATCTTGAAAACAGTAAGAGGGAAGAAGCAACTCGTCACATTCAAGAGGTCATCAATATTAATTTCTCATCAAAAACCACAGAAGCAATGAGATACTATATTTAAGTGTTGAAAGAAAAAACTGCCAACTAAGAACTCTAATATCTGGCTGATATACACTTTAAAAATCAGAGAGAGGCTAGGCAAGGTGGTACATGCCTGAAATCCCATCTACTCAGAAGGCAGAGATTAGGAGGATTATGGTTCAAGGCCAGTTTGAGCAAAAAGTTAGAGAGACCCCCATCTAATCAATAAGCGAGGAGTGATGGCACATGCCAGTGATCTGAGTTATGTGGGAGGCCCAAGGTTGAAGGATGGCAGTCTGAGACCTGCACTGAGCAAAAACACAAGACCCTATAGGGTGGAGGGGAAACTAAAGCAAAAACAAGCTGGGGGGTATGGCTTAAGGAGTGCCTACCAACCAAGTACAAGGCCATAAATTTGAATCCTAGTACCGCCAAAAAATAAAAAAAGAAAGAGAAATGAAGACATTTTCAGATAAACAAAAGCTAATAAAATTAACCAGTACATCATTTCCAATAATGTATAGACCATCTAGACAGAAGATCAATAAGGAATTCTAGGACTTGAATTACATTGTAAACCAATTAGCTCTAACAGACATATACAGAACACTCCACCCAACGGCAGAACATACACTCTTCTGACGTGTGCATGAAGGATAATATTAGGCTATAAAAATAAATCTCAGTACATTTTAAGATTGAATGCAGACATAGCATCTTTTCCAACCACAATGGAATGAAACTAAAATCAATAACAGAAGAAAAACTGAAAGAAAATCATGAATATATGGGAATTAAATAACACTATTTAATAACAATGGGCTGAAGCAATCACTAAGAGAATTAGAAAATGCTTTGAGATGAATGGAAATGAAAGCACCCACAGTGAAACCTACAAAGGACACAGAAACCAGTGCTCAAAGGGAGTTATAGCAGTATATTTAAAAACAGCACAAATCATCAACTTAATTCCATACCTTAAGGCACTAGGAAAAAAGCAAACTAAAGCCAACAGGAGGAAGGGAATAAAAAGATCTGATTAAGAAAAAAATAATAGAAAGCCAATAGAGAGAATCAATCAAACCAAGTTAATTCTTTGTAAAGATCAACAAATGCAGCAAATTTTTCATTAAATTAAGAAAAATAAAAAAGCAATTAATGTAAATCAGAAATAAAGGTGGAGATATTATTTCTTACTTTACAGAAATTAAAAGGATTCTAAGAGAATATTTATATGCCTGCCAGTCAGATAATCTAAACTAAATGGACAAATTCTTAGAAACACACAATCTACCAAAAGGACTCAAGAAGAAATATACAATCTCTTATATGTAAGAGACTGAATCAGTAACCAAAAACCACCCAACAAAGAAAAAACTGCAGGACCAAAATGGTTTCACTGGTGAGGCCAACCAAAGGAGAACTGATAAGAATCATATTTAAACCTCCAAAAAATAGAAAAGGAAGGAATAGTTCATAACACATTCCATGAGGCCAGCATCAGATACCAAAGCCAGACAAGAAAATTACAGACTCCCATCTCTTATGAATACAGATGCAAAACTGCTCAACAAAACACTGGGAAAACTATTTGAACAGCACAGTAAAAGGATTACACAGCATGACCAAGTGAAATTTATCCCAGGAATGCAAGGGTAGTTCAAAACAAGAAAGCCAATCAATATAAAATAGTACATTAATAAAATAAAGAAAAAAATAAAAATCACACATATGACCATCTAAATCCAGAAAATAACATTTGACAAAGTTTGACTTTTTTTTTTCATGACAATAACACTCAACACACTAGAAGTGAAAGGAAATTTTCTTAACCTAATAAAGGGCATCCATGAAAAATTCATAGCTAATAGTATACTCAAAGGGTTTTCCCCTTAAAAATCAGGAACAAAGGAAGCCCACTTTCATCCCTGCTAACCAACATTATTGGAGGTCCTAGCCAAAGCAGTCAGGCAAATAAAAGAAATAAGAGGCATCCAAATTGGAAAGGAAGAAGTAAAACTACCTCTACTTCTGATGACATGATTCTGCATATGGAAAATTCTAAAGAATCCACCAATTTGGGAGGTGGGGGGAAAAGCACTGCTAAAGCTTAGAAATAAATTAAACAAAGCTGCAAGGTATAAGACCAGCAAACAAAAAACACCTGTGTTTCTAATAGCAACAAACATTTCTAAAGAAATTACAGCACCTCAAACACCTAACCATATACACTTAATCCTTAGACAACCCTATCATTAAGGCTCTCTTCACTA